CAATTGTGTAAAGCACATTTGTACATCGTTTCTCAAAACATTTTCTCTCCATTTAAACCCCCGACATTAGGTCCTCATTTTTCCCCTCCCTCCCCGAAGATTTCCAGTCTTGGAAGCACACGGGGACATTTCTATCCTTTCCTTTAAGGTAGATAGGAATCAGAATCGACAGGATAGCAGTGAGTTTGGTTTTGGTATGGGGTTTGGGGAGGTTTAAAAGTTCACGGAAAGATTCCTTTATCTTTTAAGCCATTTCCCGTAAGCTTTTTGAAGCCTCCTCCTGTTTCTATGTCTAGCCCCTGGTGGTGTACACAATTAACGTGCTCAGCTGCCGTGTGAAAGGTGGGAGGTTTGAGTCCACAGACAAAAGGCCTGTGCTCTCAAATTCATTCCCTCGAGTCTGTTCTGTCCCATAGTAATCCCAAAGGGCAGAGTGGGACTGCCCTTGTGGGTCTCCGCGATGGGAACTGCCTGTGGAAGTACAACCCCTCATCTTGCCCCTGAGGTGCTGCTGGTGGGTTCAAACAGCTGACCTTTAGATTTGCAGCCAAACTCTTAACTCACTGCACTACCAGGGCCTGGTGCTCTACGTGTGAACACCAGCCGTTGACAACCCTGTGGAGTCTATAGTGCTACTGTGACCTGGGGGTTGGCACGAATCAAAAGTGACTCAATATAGCAACTTTTAAAAAGTATATGATGGGCTACAAATCAACCTGATTCTGCTGGCAGAAGCCCTTTTAATCGCCTTGCTAAAACCCAGAGACACTTTGTCTACTGTATTTCCTCATCAGCCAAGCACTAACTTAATCAAAAGAGGGAATTGAGTTAAATAGCCCAAGGTTTAGGCATTCAAATCTTGTTTCGTTGATACCATCTGTGGTAAAGCGATTTATTTCCTATCTCTTCCTTCCTCTTGCAGTATGCCTGCAGTTAGGTTTTTTTTTTTTTTTTAAGTAATTAACAAAAAAAGATTTATCTTTGCCCCAAAGCGGTAATTCTTCCCCATGGTAACTTTCACCCATCTTGGGAAGAGCCAGGGGCGGGCAGCAGACAGTGTCTTTGGTAAATGTTCCCAGGCTGTCTTCACACACAACACACACACACACACACACACACACACACACACACACACACACACACACACTCCTTCCCGGAAGACAGCATGTGTTGAAGCGGCCAAGTCGAGTGAAACTCAGCGAGCATGAATTGAGTCTTATTAATATGAACCCAATCATAAGTGTGATGCAGAGACACAGAGTACATGTTTCCTGTCATTGGAACGTTTAGTAGCATGTCGTCCTGGTCATTCGTTGCCCTCTGACTCAGCGGCAGCCTTCTGCACCATCTTCAGGGTGTTGTGTGCACTCCTTTCATGATGAAATAGCCACTGGGGGAGATGCATTGGAGCCCATTGTTGTTGCTACTGTGTAGGGCAGCGGTGCTCAACCTGTGGGTCGCGACCCCTTTGGGGGCCGCCCAATTCTTAACAGTAGCACAACGACAGTTATGAAATAGCAACGAAAATAATTTTATGGTTTGAATGCCTAAACCTTTGGCTACTTAACTCAATTGGCTACTTAGCAACATGAGGAACTGTATGACAGGGTCGTGTCATTAGGAAGGTTGAGAACCACTGGTGACGTGCCTTCCAAGCTGGGGAGCTGCATTTCTAGCACGGTATCAAGTCCTGTTCTGTTGTGATCTGGCAGGTTTACATCGGCAGTTTTCAGAACTAGATCATCAGGCAGGTCTTCCCTGTCTATTAGATCTGGAAGCCCCACTGAAACTTGTGTACTATGAGTGACCCCCCCCCAATGGTGTTTAACCCTTTCATGACTCATGGGACATACTTCACCCACCAATAGATTCAGCCTCTCAGGTTTCTTGGGAAACCACTATCCCGGTTGTAGTATATTCTACCACCCGGAGAAGGCTTGTCTTAGTGAACCTGGAGAAATGGGCCTCACCCCCACCAATCTTATCATTAGAGTTCACTGGGGACCTATGTGTCCCACAGAATTTGATCGAAATTCTTATCACCTCAAAAAAGATGTTTTCCCTTGATCTCAACATTCTTTCCGTTACTGAAAACATGTAGTATCCACACAAAAAATAAATGTCCCTGAAGAGAAAATGGCCACCACTGCTGACTTTCTGCTCCGCTTCTCTTTGGGGGCCCTGGATTTCCATCTGTCAACCATCCTTTGCTGTTTTCCATTTTCCCAGAACTCCTCAGAATCCTATGGCACCTTTTCTTTGGGGCTGGGGGAGGCAAGGGAGGTTAGCTCATTTTCTGTATTTCAGAGTGCCTCACGGCAGAGGGGATACAATGGACAGGAGAGAGCTATTCTTCTAGTGTTGCTGTCATCTCAGGAAGTTGGTGAACACGCATCTCACATAAAAAGAGATAATGACTGACTGCCCCCCCCCACCCCCCCAGTATCCTCAGCTGCCAGATTTAAAACAAACGAAGCTGCATTATAAGCATTTCGTTTTTAAGAATTCATCCATTGCAGTGACCTCAGACTCTTTCCCCCTCTAAAAGGCACTTGAATAGTTTCCGTAGTTGCAAGAGTGTTTGCAGGAGTGAATTAGGATTGGGACAATCCTAATTGTGTTGTGATTAGAAGGACAAGGGGTTAAGCTAATTGTTGAGCTAACACAGTACTGGGTGCCCATGCTTCTTTTGGCCCGCAACCCATATGAACAAGGACTTCCCTCCAGGATGGTGACCACGATGTACACTCTGTTTTCTTAGCTTCCCAAACCCTTCTTATAGGACGTTGCGACGTTAACCAGCGGACAAGAGCAAAGTCAAAGTCTTGTTCTTCTGTCACTTAGCACACACAATGAGATGCTTAGGGCCTATAGGTCAAGCAAGCAACAACGGCTCCGCTGATTTATGAGCTTTGCTGCAACTAAAGGAAGACTGCGGAGTAGGCATGTCTCTTCCTGCGAGGCTAGGACCGTGAAACCTACGGCCTTAATAGTGGAAAAGCACATCGCTGTTTTATTAAGCTGTAATCTTGGTTATATTCTCATTTGCACGTTCACATTCTCATCCTATAGGAAATACTAAACGGTGTGTTGACGCTATTTGAACGAAGTTTGATATTCATCCACTCACACCCACATGCTCCCAAAAGAATAAGAGTGATGAGAGTGTGTGGTGTCTTTCTCTGGATGTAAAAAAGAGGTGAAGTTCACCACTGGCTTGTGTGACAACCTAGCCCCTTTACTCATCAGTGCCAGTAGAAGCCTTTGTATTTGCCAAACCACCCTTTGAGTTTTAGTCTGAGAATCTGCTCTAGGTGCAAACACTTGTGTTTCAAATATTGTGAATGGATACCAGAAACCAATCATTATGCTGTAATGGCCAGTCCATAATTTCCTATCTCCTAGAAAAAATAAAAATAAAACTAGTCTCCCCACCCCCCACCCCCCTTTGTACTTACCAAAGCCTCAAAGGAGACCCACCAAATGTCCTGTTTGCTAAATATGTCTATCAGGTCATTTTTGCCCAGTCCAGAGGAGTCAAAGAAGACATTTCCGTTTCAATGATGGCTGGTTCACATAGCCTTCTCTCTGACAGCTTAGAATTTCCTGATGGGGCCTCTTTGCATAGCAAATACTGCCCATGATATCCTCAATAGTTCACCATTGCTGTGGCACTGGCCTTGGGCCCAGAACAGGGCCTGGAGTTCCCCTGCAGGGCACAAAGGTCCTCTAGGCTGCTGGATCAAGGGAAGGAGAGGGCATGTGTGGGGCTGGGGTAGCAGGTAGGGGTCGTAGGGATCTTAGGATGGGGGCTGTTTACCTGCCAGTTGGGAAGCATTTCCGAATTCAACCAACTAGTATCACTAGAGGAAAGCGCTGTCCCCGTATCACCCAGAGGTCCTATAATACCGAGTAATAGATGAGGATGGTGGGCCACTGACTCCAATCTTTTCTTCCTCTCTCTTTTTCAATCCCAGATCGGGGAATTACTGAGCACCACCCACCCTGCCAACAAAGCCAGTTTAACCCTGTTCTGTCCCGAAGAAGGGGACTGGAAGAACTCCAACCTCGACAGACACAATCTCCAAGATTTCATCAATATTAAACTCAACTCGGCCTCTATATTGCCAGAAATGGAAGGCCTCTCCGAGTTCACGGAGTATCTCTCCGAATCGGTGGAGGTCCCCTCGCCCTTTGACATCCTGGAACCTCCCACGTCTGGCGGCTTTCTAAAGCTGTCCAAGCCCTGCTGTTACATCTTCCCCGGAGGACGAGGCGACTCTGCGCTGTTCGCAGTGAATGGATTCAACATGCTCATCAACGGAGGCTCAGAGAGGAAGTCTTGCTTCTGGAAGCTCATCCGCCACTTGGACCGGGTGGACTCCATCCTGCTCACCCACATCGGGGACGACAACCTGCCGGGCATCAACAGCATGCTGCAGCGGAAGATCGCCGAGCTGGAGGAGGAGCAGTCCCAGGGCTCCACCACCAACAGTGACTGGATGAAAAACCTCATCTCCCCTGACTTAGGGGTGGTCTTTCTTAACGTACCGGAAAACCTGAAGAACCCAGAGCCCAACATCAAGATGAAGAGAAGCCTGGAAGAAGCCTGTTTCACGCTTCAGTACCTGAACAGACTGTCCATGAAACCGGAACCTCTATTTAGAAGTGTAGGCAATGCCATCGAGCCCGTCATTCTTTTCCAAAAGATGGGAGTTGGTAAGCTAGAGATGTATGTGCTCAACCCGGTGAAGAGCAGCAAAGAAATGCAGTATTTTATGCAGCAGTGGACTGGCACTCACAAAGACAAGGCTGAACTCCTTCTGCCTAATGGTCAAGAAGTCGATATTCCCATTTCCTATGTGACGTCCGTCTCCTCACTGATCGTGTGGCACCCAGCAAACCCAGCCGAGAAGATCATCCGAGTCCTCTTTCCCGGAAACAGCGCCCAGTATAATATCCTGGAAGGGCTGGAGAAACTCAAGCATTTAGACTTCCTGAAACAGCCGCTGGCCACCCAGAAAGATCTTTCTGGCCAGGCAGCCAGCCCCGCGGTGAAGCAAGTGAAACTAAAGCAGAGGGCCGATAGCCGAGAGAGTCTGAAGCCAGCCCCTAAACCGCTCCCGAGCGGCAAATCGGTGCGGAAAGAGTCGAAAGAAGAAGCCCCCGAGGTCCCCAAAGCTAACCAGGTGGAAAAGCCCCCCAAGGTGGAAAGCAAAGACAAGGTCACAGTGAAAAAGGACAAGCCGACCAAAACAGAGACCAAACCGGCCGCGAGTGAGAAGCAGGCGCCCAGCAAGGAAGACCAGCCCTCGGTGAAGGCCGAGGTGGCGGACAAGCAAGCCGCGGAAGTCAAACCCAAGGTCACCAAGGAGAAGACCGTGAAAAAGGAGACAAAGCTAAAATCTGAAGAAAAGAAAGAGGAGAAGGAAAAGCCAAAGAAGGAAGTGGTGAAAAAGGAAGAGAAGACGCCCGTCAAGAAGGAAGATAAAGCCAAAAAGGAGGAGGTGAAGAAGGAAGTCAGAAAAGAAGTTAAGAAAGAGGAGAAGAAAGAATCCAAGAAGGAGGTGAAGAAAGAGACACCGCTGAAGGATGCCAAGAAGGAGGCGAAGAAGGACGAGAAGAAGGAAGCTAAAAAGGAAGAGAAGGAACCCAAAAAAGAAATCAAGAAGATCTCCAAAGACGCCAAGAAATCATCCACGCCGCTCTCTGACGCCAAGAAACCCACGGCGTTAAAACCAAAAGTACCCAAGAAGGAAGAGCCGGTCAAGAAAGATGCCGCCGCCGCGGCGGCCAAGTCCAAGGAGAAGGGCAAGGTGAAAGTCACCAAGAAGGGGACTGCAGAGGCTGCGGCCGCCGCCATCGGCACCGTGGCAGCTGCCGCCACTGGGGCCGTGGCCGCTGGCATCGCAGCCGCCGGCCCCGCCAAAGACCTGGAGGCCGAGAGGTCGCTCATGTCCTCCCCGGAGGACTTAACCAAGGACTTTGAAGAGCTAAAGGCCGAAGAGGTCGATGTGGCCAAGGACAGGCAGCCCCCGTTGGCGCTCGCAGAAGATGAAGACAAGCGGAGGGAGCCCGCGCCCGGGGACGCCTATGTCATCCAGTGCGAGACCGAGGTGCCCCCGGGCCCCGCCGAGTCGCCCGACGAGGGCATCACCACGACCGAGGGCGAGGGCGAGTGCGAGCAGACGCCCGAGGAGCTGGAGCCCGTCGAGAAGCAGGGCGGCGAGGACATGGAGAAGTTTGAGGACGAAGGAGCCGCCTTCGAAGAATCCTCCGAGGCCGGAGACTACGAAGAAAAGGCGGAAACCGAGGAGCCCGAAGAGGATGGCGACAGCGCGAGCAGCGCCAAGCGCAGCCCGGTGCAGCAGGAGGAGGACGAGCGCGCGCCGGCCGAGGCGCACGGGCCCCTCCGGGAGAAGAGGGCGTCGGTGGCCAGTGGGGACGACCGGGCCGAGGAAGACATGGATGAGGCCCTGGAGAAGGGGGAGGCGGCGCCATCCGAGGAGGAAGGCGACGAGGACAAGGCGGAGGATGCCAGGGAGGCAGAGTACGAGGCGGGTAGAGCAGAAGCGGAAGATTACGTGATGGCGGTGGTGGACAAGGCTGCGGAGGCCGGGGGCGCCGAGGATCAGTACGGGTTTCTGGGCGCCTCGGGCAAGCCGCCGGGAGCCCAGTCCCCCGCCCGGGAAGCTGCCGCCACAATTCACGACGAGACATTACCCGGCGGCTCGGAGAGTGAGGCCACCGTGTCGGACGAGGACAACCGCGAAGACCAGCCTGAGGAATTCACAGCCACCTCTGGCTACACCCAGTCGACCATTGAGATCTCCAGCGAGCCCACCCCCATGGACGAGATGTCCACGCCCCGCGACGTGATGAGTGACGAGACCAACAACGAGGACACGGAGTCCCCGTCCCAGGAGTTCGTCAACGTCACCAAGTACGAGTCCTCCCTCTATGCTCAGGAGTACTCCAAGCCCGGGGTCTCACTCAATGGACTGTCTGAAGGGTCCAAAACGGACGCCACCGATGGCAAGGACTACAACGCCTCGGCCTCCACCATCTCCCCGCCGTCGTCCATGGAGGAGGACAAGTTCAGCAAATCCGCTCTGCGTGACGCTTACTGTGCCGAAGAGAGAGGAGCGAAAGGCAGCGCTGCGCTGGAGCTCCCAGACGCGCCCGCAGTTCCAGACGACTCGCGTAGTCCGTCCAAGAGCCCGCTGTCTCTGAGTCCATCCCCACCGTCACCCATCGAAAAGACCCCCCTGGGTGAACGTAGTGTGAACTTCTCCCTGACCCCCAATCAGATCAGTGTCTCTGCAGCGGCCACCATCCCGGCGTCTCCTGAGGTGACCCAAGAAGTCGTGGAAGCACACTGTGCTAGCCCCGAGGATCAGACGCTGGAAGTGGTGTCTCCATCGCAGTCAGTGACCGGCAGTGCTGGCCACACCCCTTACTACCAGTCTCCCACTGATGAGAAGGCTAGTCACCTCCCCACAGAAGTCGGCGGGAAGCCAGCAGCCGCTCCGGAGAGTTTTGAATTCGACGACACCAAAGATGAGAGGCTTTCCATAAGCCCCATGGATGAGCCGGTGCCTGACTCAGCGTCTCCTATAGAAAAAGTCTTGTCTCCTTTACGAAGTCCTCCACGGATTGGGTCAGAGTCTGCCTATGAAAGCTTTCTAAGTGTGGATGAGAAGACTCCTAGCAGATGTAGAAGTCCCTTTGAAGGAACAGATGGAGAGCAAAGTATTCTAGACCAAATCAGTCCAGTTGCCGAAATCACTTCCACCGGTCTCTTCCAAGAGAGGCCGGAGAAGGCGAGCGCAGACTTCGTGCCAATAAAGGAAGACTCGGAGAAAGGACAGACAACCGAGGACGTGGAAGCCCTGGGTTCTCCACCAGGACTGGCTTCGGAGGAAAGAAAGTTAGGAGGAGAGGTTTCTCCGACACAAATTGACGTCAGCCAGTTTGGCTTTTTGAAGGAGGACACCAAGATGTCCATTTCCGAGGGCACTGTCTCAGACAAGTCAGCTACGCCTGTGGATGAGGGTGTCGCCGAAGACACCTACTCTCACCTGGAGGGGGTGGCTTCAGTCTCCACCGCCTCTGTGGCTACAAACTCCTTTCCAGAGCCAACGACAGATGATGTGTCCCCGTCTCTGCATGCTGAGGTGGGGTCCCCGCATTCCACAGAAGTGGACGACTCCCTTTCCGTGTCCGTTGTTCAAACACCGACGACTTTCCAGGAAACAGAAGTGTCTCCATCTAAAGAGGAATGCCCAAGGCCAATGTCAATCTCTCCGCCAGACTTCTCCCCTAAGACCGCCAAGTCCGGGACACCGGTTCAAGACCACAGATCCGAACAATCTTCAATGTCTATTGAATTTGGCCAAGAATCCCCCGAGCACTCTCTTGCTATGGACTTTAGCCGACAGTCTCCAGACCACCCTGCTGTGGGGGCGGGTATGCTTCACATCACTGAGAACGGGCCGACTGAAGTGGACTACAGTCCCGACTTGCAGGACTCCAGTTTATCGCATAAGATACCACCAGTGGAGGAGCCATCCTATACCCAAGATAATGATCTTTCTGAGCTCATCTCGGTATCTCAGGTCGAGGCCTCCCCATCCACCTCTTCCGCACACACCCCTTCTCAGATCGCGTCTCCTCTCCAGGAAGATACTCTGTCTGATGTGGTTCCTCCCAGAGAGATATCCTTATATGCCTCACTCACCTCAGAGAAGGTGCAACTTCCGGAGGGAGAGAAGCTTTCGCCAAAATCTGATATCTCCCCACTGACCCCAAGAGAGGCCTCTCCTTTATACTCCCCTAGCTTTTCAGATGCTACCTCTGCAGCCAGAGAGAATGCAGCAGCTTGCCATACGTCCTCTTCTCTGCCAGTGGATGCAGCATCCGCAGCGTCGTACAGCTTCCGTGCCTCAATGTTATTTGATACCATGCAACACCATCTCGCCTTGAATAGAGATCTGACTGCGTCTGGCTTGGAGAAGGACGATGGAGGGAAGACCCCTGGTGATTTTAGCTATGCCTATCAAAAGTCAGAGGAGACAAGCAAGTCCCCAGGCGAAGAAGGTTATACCTATGAGTCTTATGACAAAACCAACCGGACCCAAGAGGCCGGTGGCTATTACTATGAGAAGACCGAGAGGACCACGAAATCCCCAAGTGACATTGGCTACTCCTATGAGACCATTGAGAAAACCACCAAGACCCCCGAAGATGGTGGCTATGCCTTTGAGATTACAGAAAAGACCACCCGGACCCCCGAGGAGGGTGGCTACTCCTACGAGATAAGCGAGAAGACCACAAGGACCCCGGACGTGAGTGGTTACAGCTATGAAAAGACCGAGAGGTCTAGAAGGCTCCTAGATGACATCAGCAATGGCTATGACGACACGGAAGATGGTGGCCACACACTGGAGGATACCAGCTACTCCTATGAGACCACTGAGAAAATTACCAGTTTTCCCGAGTCTGAATGTTACGCTTATGAGACGACTACCAAAACCACACGAATCCCTGATTCGTCCACATACTGCTATGAGACCACCGAGAAGATCACCAGGACCCCCCAGTCATCTACCTATTCCTACGAGACGTCAGACCGATGCTACGCTGCAGAAAAGAAGTCGCCCTCAGAGGCCCGCCAGGATGTGGATTTATGCCTGGTGACCTCTTGTGAATACAAGCATCCCAAGACGGAGCTCTCCCCCTCCTTCATTAATCCTAACCCCTTAGAGTGGTTTGCCAGCGATGAGCCAACTGATGAGTCTGAGAAGCCCCTCACTCAATCTGGGGGAGCCCCGCCACCTCCAGGAGGCAAGCAACAGGGGCGGCAATGTGATGAAACACCTCCCACCTCCGTCAGCGAGTCTGCCCCATCCCAGACAGACTCCGATGTCCCCCCGGAGACCGAAGAGTGCCCCTCCATCACAGCGGATGCCAACATCGACTCTGAAGATGAATCTGAAACCATCCCCACGGACAAGACCGTGACATACAGACACATGGACCCGCCCCCGGCCCCGATGCAAGACCGCAGCCCATCTCCTCGCCACCCCGATGTGTCCATGGTGGACCCAGAGGCCTTGGCCATTGAGCAGAACCTGGGCAAAGCGCTCAAGAAAGACCTGAAAGAGAAGACCAAAACCAAAAAGCCAGGCACGAAGACCAAGTCATCTTCGCCGGTCAAGAAGGCCGATGGGAAGTCGAAGACACCTGCGGCTTCCCCCAAACCAGTGGGGTTGAAAGAGTCCTCAGATAAGGTGTCCAGAGTGGCTTCTCCGAAGAAGAAAGAATCTGTGGAAAAGGCATCGAAAACCACCACCGCCCCGGAGGTCAAAGCTGCTCGTGGGGAGGAGAAAGACAAGGAGACCAAGAACGCCACCAATGTCTCCACATCCAAGTCGGTCAAGACAGCGGCTGCAGGTAAGTCTAGGACAGCCCGGGCACCTTGGCATAGACCCCAAAAGTTGTGCTTTCACTGGGCATCTCCCCTGCTCCCTGTTTGTGCTAGCGGGATGGGAGGGCACGGGATGGGACTGGACCTTCCCTTTCCTATCTTCTCTCTGCCAGAAGGTGGAAACTCCAGCCCAGCGAGGCCCTTAAGAGCGTGGGACCCAGGCAAGCTCTGGTTCAACGGATGGGCTTCCCAGCTCAGCACTATTCTGGGTTGCTAACCACAGCAGCTGAAGCTTGGTTATGAGTCATCAGAACCAAGAGTGCGTTTGCAAACCTCCTCTGGAGGACTGTGTTGGCGTTGGTTTCAGAACAGAGCTGGGGTGACAGACCCAGAGCTCCCATAGGACTGGGGAAAACCAAAACTTTCAGCATCAATCCTGGAATGGATGGATTAACCCCAGGATTTATAGTCCATTTAAAAAAAATTAAAAGATCAGGCTGGAGATATCTCCCCATTAAACATAATGGAGATACCTCCTCATTTTGTTGTTATTTTGACAGCCAGTAAATACCACAGTTGCAGTTAGCTGGTGAGTCCCAGGACACACCGAGAGAGAATCACTGAAAGCTTTCCCCTGTGATCCCCCTCTGGCTCTTCAGCCTCACTGGCAGAGCCTCAGAACGCTGTTCAGACTAAGATCCCACTTGGCAATAACCAGGAGCCCTGGTGGTGTGGTGGTTACACATTGGGCTGCTTACTGCAAAGTCAAAATCAAAATTCATTTTGATCAAAAGCAGGAGCCACTTTGTGGGAGGAAGATGGGACTTGCTAGGGCCAGTTCTATCTACCCTGTCTGTAGGGTCATCAGGAGTCAGAGTCGACTCGATGGCAGTAAGTTTGGTTCAAATTTGGCAATGACCACTCTGATCAGTCATAGGATGGTCTCAATTCCCATTTCTTGTGTTCTCAGAAGTGACCTGGGTTTTTCGATGGAACAGGCCACCCAGCTTCCTCTTGGTGCTTGAAACCCAACTGATTTGTACTAATGCATTTAATTTGTTTCATTTAGTCATTGTGGGCTTTTTGGCCATAGTTCAAAACGTACTATAAATTGACCCAAAAATGTAAAGCAAAATCTATAAGTGACATTATTTATTAGAGAAAATCTGATTGGAGAAGCTTTCAAAACCAAAACTCACTTTGCCATCAAGTCAATGCTGACCCATAGCAACCCTATAGGACATGGTAGAACTGCCCTTGTGAGTTTCTGACACTTTAACTTCCTACAGGAGTAGAAAGCCCCTCTCTTCTCCCTCACAGCAGCTGGTGGCTTCAAACTGCTGACTTTGGAGGTAGCAGCCCAATGTGTAAACACTACGCCACCAAGACCTGAAAGCTTTGGAGCTCTCAAATTCAGTACATTTTTAGGAAATATCTGTTACAGCTACAAAGTTTTGTTTTAAACAATATGGAGCATCAATATCAGGATGGGTTCTGATCAGATCTGGTCTATCACATGCATGGTAATAAAACAAGCTGCAGCTGTTTGTGCGTAGAATCAATCTGGGGGAAGACCTGACAGTCCATCCCTTGATCTGAAAGATTTGTCAACTAACCTGAACTTAGGGGGAAAAAAACATGTACTTCACTTAAACAGATAGAAACAAATTTGCTATCAAACATACCAAACTGCAGGCCCAAGCTCCCAGAAATGATTAAAAAAAACAAAAAAACTTTTCAGTCATTTAAAGAGATCCGTTAAAGGTAAGATAAAAAAATTAAGTGGAGTTCATTTGAATTTTCTCTAAAATGCTTTTCAAATAGATCTCTAAAAGGCACAATTACACTATTAGTTGATTTCTAAAACAAACCTCAGTCGACCTCTGGCCGTTCCCCCCTCAGTTCCTGCTTCCATGAACCAAATGCATTTGGAATTGCTAGCAGGGATGGAGTGAAGTTTCTAATGGAAATGGAACCCGCACTTCTGCTCTAATGAGGCCCCAAGATGGATATTTTGAGGGCTTTCAGCTCAGATTCGTTACAGCGACCAGTTTGTCTAGTGAAAAGGAAAAAAAATGTGAATTTATTCAAATATCACTTTGGCTGATTCTTATCCGCCAACCCACTGCAAAACTGAAAAGTGAAATTGGACAATTCAATTCACTGCTGGTTTTGGCTGTGTGACAACAGTCTTCCAAAGCCCCGTAGTGAACGGAGAGAGGACTAAGCATATAAAATCCAGCTTATGTTGATAGAAAAGTGACCTCCTCACCAGCTGCACATTAGAATCACTTGGGATGCTTTTTTAAAAAGAGTGGTGCCAGGCCCCGGCCTCAGCCCAATTGTAAATCGTACTGCGGAGGGCGGGGCCTGGGCATCAGCCATTTTGGCAAGCTCCTCAGGTGATTCTCCTGAGCATCCTGAGTGACTGCCGTGCTAGCTCCCTGGGAGCGTAACGGTTACACATTGGGCTGCTAACCTTAGGTTCAACACTTCGAAACTACCAGCCATTCATTCCATGGGAAAAGGACAGGGCTTCTTAGTCCCATAAAGAGTTACAGTCTCGGAGACTCACAAAGACAGTTCTACCCTGTCCTATAGGGTCGCTGTGAGTCAGCATTGACTCGGTGGCAGTAAGTTTTTGAGAACACATTTGACCTTCTAAGATTTCTGGATGCTGGTTGTCGGTGTGAACAGTGTGTCTCTGCGGGGTTGGGGTGCAGTGGGGGAGGAGAGGCAAGAGCAGTTTCTCCTCATTTGAACCACAATGAGCAATGGGTATTTTAACTGGTCTGAGCCCATTTTAGAAACCCATTTTCAACCCTACTCCCCGTCATCTCATCCTGTCAGTCCTAGTGGATTTTAAAAGATTTAGTTTGAATGTTTAATGGCTTGTGTCTCCACATCCACCCCCGCCCAGACTTCAGACTTGGCCTGAGTGGGTTCCTCCACTAGGGAGGAGGGAGGGAGGAGGGGGAGGAGAAGGAAGGGCTATTCTCAAGCAGAAAAGCTGGCACAAGGCCTACTGAGGGGCCCACCAGTTAGAAGAACCTGCAGGGACTCTGCTGCAGTGGGTGTCTGTCTCCTTCACCCAACAGAAAGACAACGTGTTGTGAAGGGCAGGCTGGGTGAGGCCCGCAGGCTTCAGAATGGTGGGAGGTGTTTCCTGCTTTCCTGGCACAATCGAGACGCCAGGGTTTTTTGTTTTTAGATCCATCTGAATGCTTACTCTGCCCAGGCTGTTCTGATTTAGTCTGGGAATTTTGGCTGTAAGTTGTCCCTCTCCCTACTTTGGTATGTCCTCCTTGGCTAGAGAAAGCCGAGTCTTTCTGAACCTTCCTCTTGCCAACCCTCGGTATTCAGCCTCATTCTAGGGAGGATAGTGTCTGGCTTTCAGAATCCTGGCCGGAGGAGAGAACAGAGCCCTGGTGGTGTAATGGGTTACGTGTTGGGCTGCTAACCATCAAGTCAGAAGTTCAAAACCACCAACGCTCCATGGGAGCAAGGGGAGACTTTCTGCTCTCATAAAGAATTAAAGCCCCAGAAACCCACTGGGGAAGTTCTACTCTGTCCTATTGGGTTGTTAAAATCCATTTGCAAGATCCAGTGTGAGGGTGACATAATCCAACTGCTTGTAAAATGGCTACCAGATGAGATCTTAGAGTGGATTACTGAGATCCCTTGGCTGTGATTTACCAAATGCCGGTGCCTCCCTGAGACTTAAAAAACAATGCCCCTTAGCCATAGGGCTCTGTTCTCTCCTCAGGCATGGATCCTGAAAAGCTCCCCACTGTGTGTTGCGGAGGGGCTCTCTGTGGGTGGGGAGGGAAGGTGGGCTGGATGTGCAGCTCCCTTCTCATCACCGTGACCTCTGCCTTTTCTTTGCCTTGCTTATTTACCAAAGGCCCGGGAACCGCCAAGGCGGCCAAGTCCTCAGCTGTGCCGCCAGGACCCCCAGTGTATTTGGACCTGTGCTATATCCCTAACCACAGCAATAGTAAGAATGTTGATGTTGAGTTTTTCAAGAGAGTGAGGTCATCCTACTACGTGGTGAGTGGAAATGATGCCGCCGCTGAGGAGCCCAGCCGGGCTGTCCTGGACGCCTTGTTGGAAGGGAAGGCTCAGTGGGGCAACAACATGCAGGTAAGACCTCAAGGATGCACTGTGGACCGAGCCCCGGGGCTCTGTCACCCTCGACACATTCTAGAGGGGAAATTGGATGTAACACAAAGAACATGATCTCCAATATTAGTGTTGGCCTTGGAGGGAGACCACTCTGCCTTCGTGAGCACATAATTAATCTGCAAAATGGGCCCCAGTAACTCTCCCCAGATAGACCAAAGGGATTGTGCATAAATCAAAAGGGTCATGTTCAAATGCGAGCGCTGCTAAAGAACTGTCTTGACTAATTAGGGTTTCATAAATAGACCAAGCGAGAAAGGTGGTCATTAAGAAAGCCAGCTGGGTGAAAGCCCCACCATGGAGGAGCGCTGCTGAAAACGCTGTCCAGCACGCCTGTTCCCAGCAGACAAGCAGCATGTCTGGCCATGAGTCACTCCCTGCTCCTATTTCAGCAGTGGCCCTTCCTTATCTCTGTGTTGTCTGTGCTTCTTCAGAGGGTCACGCAGTAAACTGTGTTTGCCTGACATTACATTGACTCACTTATCCCTTACTCATTGAGATGTCATGAGAAGCAGCCAGCGATTGCTTCAAGAACATGAAATTCAGATTTCACTATTCAAGCCATTATCCTGAGACTCTGCTCCTCCACCCCCAACCACACACCCAACTTAAACATGCAGATCTTTGTCCTTGGGGTGAAAGGTTCACTACACACAATTAGTGCACTCCTGAGGGCTTCAAGCGTCTCAGAAACTCACACGGCAGTTCTACCTTGTCCTATAGGGTCACGATGGGTCAGCGGCACTCAGTGGCCGTGAGTTTGGAAGGGCTTTAAGGGACCTTGGTCATGTAATGAATCTGCATCGGGCTGCTAACCACAAGATCAGTAGTTCGAAATCATTAGCTGCTCTGCAGGAGAATGATGAGCTTTCTGCCTGGGAGACACACAGAGGCCAGGGCTACTCTACCCCATGTAGGGTTGCTATGGGATGGCATGGGCTCCATGCAGGGAGTGTGGAGAACGGCTTTCAGCTGCCACGATAGCTACAATTCCTTAGATTCAACAGTATCTCTCATGTAAAGCTCCCCAGTTGTGTTCAAGGACATGCAAGATATTGGGCCATCACTGAAGAGCTCCTCTAAGGATTGAGAAACTAGCAACATGGAAGACCTCGCTGACTAGTCGGTACTTGCTTGTGGTGCCAGATCCCCCCAGCAGAAAATGGTATTCCTTTGGGGCTTCATTCGGCTTCCTGAAAAATGTCAGTTGAAAAGCCTTCTGCATTTCTTGAGACAAATGGAAAATAGATCTTCCCCGCACCCCCCCCCCAACCCTTGTCTTCTAATGGCCTTCATGTTGTGCCCCAAGGGTGGGGTTTTTTGCTCTGCCCTTAAATGGCCCGTTTCTCTCTCCCTGCAGGTGACCCTGATTCCAACGCATGACTCAGGAGTGATGAGAGAATGGTACCAGGAGACCCACGAGAAACAGCAAGACCTCAACATCATGGTTTTAGCGAGCAGCAGCACAGTGGTCATGCAAGACGAATCCTTCCCGGCGTGCAAGATCGAACTGTAGACCCAGCGCCAGCCACACCACAGGATCGGAACTCTGTGTCCAGAATTCTTCAATTTGAAACCACCTTTTCTAAGAAAAAAACCCACAAAAAACCAATTCGTCTAATGAAGTCGCTGAACTGATTACCTGCCAAACGCTATACTGTGTCATGGTGATGCAAGTCACTAATATTTCTCGGTTTCTGCTGATTGCTAAGGGAAGTAACAGTGCTCCCACCATAGGGTTCAAATTACTGCAAAATTACCTACCCCCGTTCATCTCTGCTGAACGTTTAGAAACCATGCACTAGCAAACCCAACGGACTTCTGCGAGGTCGAGGCATTTGTCTTAGAAAGAGAGCGAGCAAGAGAGAGAGAGAGAGAGAGAACAAGGGAGAGTGTGTGCACACAGAGAGACCATGGGAGAGAGAAAGCGAGTGAGAAAGCTAAAGAAGGCAAGAGAAGGGGGTGTAACGGAAAGATTGCTGGTGAGATCTCCAGAGAGAAACAGCATGGGGCGGGGGAAGGATGAGACAATAACGAAGCGTGAGGTCTGCATTTTCTCAGGCAATAGAATTCTGTAGGCTACCTAGGGAAAGCTTTCCCCTGTGACGTCTGTGTCGACCGGAAGGTCTTACTTTTCTAAGACAAATTGGCTGGCTAGGAAGGCATGTGAGATTTCCACGCCTTAATTCCGCTCCTTCAGTTTCAGGGCTACACACCGACAATGTAGCGCGTGTAGACCGGACGGGAAAGTGGTTTGAACCCCATTCGGAACTCTCAGACTTTGTAAACAAAGGAGTAGGTTGATCTAAGGCATGCTCCCAGCATATGTCCACGCACTTAGGCCACTCTGAGTCAATTAACCTGCATGCGTCAACACCCAAGTCCACCCTGATTCACTGAAGCAAATACCAAAGCAGTTGGGAGTACACACAGTAGACAATTTGCCTTAGAAAGTGACTTGAATGTACAAAGATACTTGATGCACTTATTTTTTAATGTGAGACAGCAAGTTTATAAAACATCCGTGTAGGATTATAGATGCTCGAGTTAAGGAGCACGTGTGCGAGCGGAGGGTCCTAGGAGCTGGTCTGATGGGTGCAGCGGTTTGTGCCGAGTCATGCGTGTTGACCACCACCTCAGGGCACCAGTGGCCTCTCAGCCAAGCCAGTTGAGCCTTTCCCAGCTTCTTTACTACTGCAAGTTCAAGATAGAAATGGCTTCTGGGATCAGAACTGGGAAAACGGTGGATGTGACCGAGGAAGAGATTTTCAGCAAGTGTACAGTATTTATCTTCCTTTGTCTTACATTGGCTTTTAAAAAAATTATTTTCCATTAATTTCAGTGTAAGAATGGGAACAAATGTACAGATTTTTTTTTAAGATATGAGAACTTTTCATAGGTGAACTTCTTAACAAATTTTCATTTACAGGGAAATGCAAAGAAAAATCTTCAAATGAGTCTTTTTTTTTTTTTTTAAGTGTTTCGTAAGACAAAAAGAATCATGTTTCCTGCAGTTCTGGTGAGATTGAAGTCTGATTTTGCAGCAAGAATATTGATTAAAAACCCATAAGGACCAGGAATAATGATACCTCCCAGCCCTGGATTCATTCTATAGAAATCCGAGGATGTGCTGTCGGAGAGGGGGGCGGCCTGGAAAGGCTCCTTCTCCAGGCCTTTGCAAGGCCATCCATCATCTTACATCCTCCTCTCGAGATGTTTGGCCATGAGGCCAAAGAACCGAGCCTGAGTGCAGAAGAACCCTAGCACAACTCTGCTGTGAGGTTGTTCTCTTCTGGACAAAGCAAAGAAAGAAAGAATTCATCAAAAGCAAATGAATTCCCCAACTCCTCCAGCTCCACCTGTTGTATCCAGAGATCATGTCCATCACTGTCATCATCCAACTGTGAAACCTGGGAAGCCAGATCCTGGTTTGCGACTGCTGTCAAGTGGCAGATCCTTGTCCCCAGGGTTCAGAGGGAGCCCTTCTCCCCAACACCTTCTTCTGTACTTTGTTCTGTCCTGTTGCACCTCCTGCAGACGCTCAGATCTACGAAGTAGTGGACGATGACCTCATTTTATTGTTTGTTAGTTATTTATTTCAAGATTAACATTGTGGGTTTATTTCGGATTGCTAAGTGTACGTTTTTGCACTGCTAACTACTATGAGGGTTTAAACATGCTTCGTCAGGGTCCCTTCCCAGGGGATGATACCGTCTACTTAATGCTGTGAATTACATTTTCCAAATGTTTTTTTTTTTTTTAATTAAGATACTATTTTTGTTAGGCTTCTCTCTAGAAGCACTTTTATTTATTACCCTGTCTCTTTCAAGTCTTTAAAAAATATAACGGATTGGCCAAAGGTACAAAAAAGAACTTACAATGGGAAAAACCATTATGCTGAAAATGATTTCACTGAGTCGAAACTCATCTACTTCAGACTGATTCCACGCATCCTAAGACACTCAAAGATGATCTGCCTTCTTGCCAAATCCAGACCGCTGGTTGATTTTTTGTGGCTAGACGATACAATTATTTACCACTTGCCCTAACTCAGTTTGTTCAACATGGACAATTGTTTTCTGCAGTAAGAAGTACAACTGTTTTAGAAGAACTATAACCAATCTCCAACCCTAATCACTCTACCCTACTCCTTTCTCTCTCTCTCTTTTTGTTTTTGCTAAGGGATTTCATGAAAAAAAAAAAAAAAAAGACAAAAATCGCCGCTGGTCAGCTGACTCTTTTTCCTACAAAATATTTCAGCACCTTTTCCCACCCGTTGTTCCCAGTGATGACCACCAGGAAAAACAATATTTTCATGACAGGTTGCTCCTGTCTTTCCAGACACACCTTTCCTACCCGTGTGACTAACCTAATCTTGCTAGTTCCATAAATACACAATTCGTTTTCTAACCGCCATCACAATCTACCATGGACACTCTTGGTGAGAGATAGGGACTGACGCAGACTTCTCGGAGCCTGGCTTGCTCCTGTTTACGACTCCAATTGTGTAGACGAAATGTGGAGTGGAAAGAATTTACACTCTGCTGAAATGATGGGATTCCATCAAGATAGCACTCATGATCATGAACTTTTTGGTAGTATTCTTAAAATTCTACGGAGACTAAATGTTAGAGATGATCCTTCATTTTCAATTTCAACCACTTCTACCCCCTTCTCCAACCCCATCCCCTGTGCATGCTTTCCCAGTCTGGTGGTGAGACTGGATACAATGACTGACTCTCCCCACCCCTTTCAACGCCATTTCCCATGGAGTTAAAAAAAATTTTTTTAAACCTTACATATCATAGTGAATGGTTTCCCCAGTGTATATGAATGTTTTAAGTGTCTCCAGTAGCTTACGCAATTTTAGGAGCTTTCCGATCCTCCTGTCTTAAGATTTAATCATCCGATTCTGGAATTGTACCCTCTTCCATTTTCCCTCTATTCCCAAACGTCAGCTCTCTCGAGCTGCCCTACAATCCCCAAGTTGCTTTAATTGCCTCTCTTTAGTCATCTGTCAAAAGAGGTTCTTGCTCAGTAATGATATTGTGAGTTAGGATAATAACTTTTTTCTTTTTCCTTTTGCGCTTCTGATTTAGAAGAAAAAGATCCTGTTTCCATATGCAAGGAACTGTAGGCATTTTACCTTTAGCCAACTGAACAACACACCAGAAGCAGCCGGGGATGGGCCTTTCTTCAGAGCAACTAGGTTATAGACCTGGTAGTAAAAGTATTTGCGGTTTAAAAAAATAAAATCCTGTGACTTTACTAAGTTCATTTAAAAGGCAGCATCAAAAGCTGAAAAGAAGGGAAAATAAATAAGTAGCTTCTCTGCCCTCATTTGGAGCTCCCCAAAACAGGAGCCACTAAGAAGAGGCATCCAGGCCTGGATGCCCTGTGGGCACAGCGCTGAGACAGGCAGCTGAGTTGCGCTTGGCGCTGCGCTGCATGTAGCCTCCTCCCTCCTGGGGAGGAGCGGTCCTGAGCCTGACCGAGAAGCCTCTCACACTCCTCTCTTGTTCTGAATGGTGTTTGTGTCAGTCTGCAGCTGTGTATGGTATTATATCTTATAATCCTGCATCACTTCTACCCAGTCATATCTAATGTAGAAAATTAGTTTCCAGTGAAAGTAATATGTAGTGCTTTTATGATATTTGTGTGCAATATCCCCTCTTCCGTTGAGGATATTTGATGTAAAAGGAAAAAAGAAAAAAAAGCTCAGTTCCACAATAAAATACAAAAGTGGCAAAAGTTCATGTGTGTGCTGTCTTTGTGTGGACTGCTTTTGGCTCCTTGGCAGTTGGTGTTTGCCACCCACACAGAACGTGGGCAGCTCCCAATTCATGCTCCCACTGTGACTAGCCAAGTTCCTGAGTACTTTGGAGGTTCAAGACCAGGAGGTGCGAGGGAGGGGCAGTAAAAAACGATTGCCGAGAGACAAAAAATTGGGGCAGGCTGCGGTGGTTCACAGGAGCCCCGGGGTGGCTGTCAGTAAATACTGGACTAAGAACTGCGAAGTCGGGAGCCCAAACCCACCGGCTGACCCGAGGGAGAAAGTTGAGGCTGTCAGCTCCCGCCGAGATGTACAGCCTCAGAAACCCTGAACAGGGCTGTGGGTGGGAGCCAAAAGACGTCAGTAGGGTTTTTAAACTCAGATTAACTAGGAAGAAAAATCTGATGACCTACTTAAAATAAAAAAAAAGTTTCCATGAGGCTTGGGTCACCATGAGTTGGGCCAACAACAAAAACCAGCAGAGCAGAGCAGCTACACCTTGAACTAACCCATCATTACCCTTGAGAAGTGGAGAGGAGCTAGACGAGTGGGGGAGGAGGACATTGGGTAGGTTTTCTGTGGGAGCCTCCAACCGCCCGGCTGGTGTTAATAATAGCTCTGCTGCCTCTAGCTGCAGACCATGGACCACCGGCCCTCCGCCTGTCTGGCTGTCCTTTGCTCTTTTCCTCCGCTGTCAAGTGAGAAATGGACAAGATGGCCCAATAGGATGATCCATAGCTGATCCTCTGGGTTCTACAAAGCCGTGGGCTAAGAGACCCTTGTGAACTACTCATGCCACCGCATGTACAGATCAAAACCCAACTCCTGAGGGACAAAGAAAGGCAACGAGTCCCTAACATGGTCATTAAAATGTAACTTCTCAGCATATTTGCTATTTCCGCTCTGAATTCACCTGTGTAGACAGGTTTCCTTCCAGCTTCCTTGCTTCTGATGAGCAAAAGCATTGTGAAAGGAAGCTCAAGGTGAAGGTTTCTTCCTCTGTACGTTTATCATGCTTGAGCCTCTTCAAATGACAGCAAGCTGGCCGAGCATGGGACTGGAAGCATGAAAGCTGTTTAGCTGGTTCAGGCAACTCCATTAGCGTTAGCCTAGGCACCCCATCCTAGGGCGGGCTGCAACTCAGAGCAGCTGTGACGGGAAGTGGCCCCGTCTACGTGTGTCTTTGAGAGTGGCCGTCTTCCAGGGGTGCCAGCGTCTGCTTTCCACTCTGGCTACAATCAAAGTCCTTGGAACTTGGGGCTGCCCCTGATGCCCAATCCCCTCACGGATGCTCACAGGAACAGTCTAGGAGACACATCAGAGTCTCCCATGGTAGCCTGAGTCCCAATATAACCTTTTATGAAAGTCATAAAATACGGTCAATTGATATAACAGGTCTCAAAGCCAAAGTTCCACATCTTACTTTGGGAAGTGGCAAATGGACTGTTAAAAGCTTGTGGGCGGCCTTCCAATGTGTACACGCTGGTCTCTCCCTGCCCCAAACAAAGAAGAATGAAGACAATCACAGAGATGTGGAAATATTTAGTCCAAAGGACTCAGGGAAAGTCATAAAAGGTTATATTGGGACTCAGGCTACCATGGGTAGGTGAGTTAATGAAGAAACAGGATTTCAGCCTCTAGAATCACAATGTTTTGGGGAGATACATCTCTGAAAAGAGGGGGTTTTCATAAAAGGAAATAGAGGAAAGAACCAGGAGGCAAAGGACATTTATAGAGGTCTAAATTCAGGCATGTATATATATATGTATGTATATATATATATATATAGCTAGAGGGGAATAGAACTATGTACTCATATCTATATGTTAAGAATTAGGTTGCAGATGGACATTGGGCCTCGACTCGAGTACTCCCTCAACACAAGAACACTTTGTTCTAACAATCCGGCATTCTGTGACACTCTTTCCCATCACAATCGCTGAAGACAAAATGGGTGCATAAGCAAATGTGGTGAAAAAAGCTGATGGTGCCCGGCTATCAAAAGCTATAGCGTCTGTGGTATTAATGGCTTGAAGATAAACAAGTGGCCATCTAGCTGAGAAGCAACTAAGCCCACATGGAAGAACCACACCAGCCTGTGTGATCATGAGGTGTCAATGGGATCAGATATTAGGCATCTAAGACCCAGAACAAAATGATACCAAATGTGAATGGGGTGGGGCATGGAGTGGAGACCCAATGCCCATCTGTAGACAATTTGACATTCCCTCACAGAGCGGTCACAGGGAAAAGATGAGCCAGTCAGGGTGCAGTATAGCACTGATGAAACACAACTATCCTCTAGTCCTTTGGTGCTTCCACTATCATGACCTCAATATTACCTTACAAATCAGATTAGACCAGAACATGCACACTGCTACAGATAAGAGCCCGCAACACAGGGAATCCAGGGTAGATAAGCCCCTCAGGGCCAACAGTGAGAGTATAGATATCAGGAGGATTAGGGGAGGGTGGGGGGAGAAAGTGGGGATCAATCACAAGGATCAACCTATAACCTCCTCCCAGGGGGACGAACAACATAAAAGTGGGTGAGGGGTGTAGGATGATGTAAGATATGAAAATAATAATCTATAACTTATCAAGGGTTTGTGAAGGAGGGTGGGAGGGGGAAGAAATGGGGAGCTGATATCAGGGGTTCAAGTGGGAAGAGAATGCTTTGAAAATGATGATGGCGGCATATGTGCAAATGTGCTTGACACACTGGATGAATGTATAGATTGTGGTAAGAGATGGAAGAGCCCCTATTAAAAGTATTAAAAGGGGGGGGCGGTTTCAGAATTAAGATGTGAGAGAGTGAGTTCAGGAACCCCTGGGTGGTACAAATGGGCCAGCACTCAACTACTAGCCAACAGGTTGGCTGCTGTTTGAACCCACCCAGAGGTGCCTCTGGTGATCTGCTGCTGCAAGGTCACAGCCTTGCAGACCCCGTGGAGCAGTTCTACTCAGCACACCAGGGGTCGCCATGAGTCAGAGTCAGCTCAGTGACCGCCCGCCCACAGGATCCAGAAACCGTGCTCTTCAACATCAGCGCCAAGCATGCTAGCACACAAAGGCAGCAAAGTTGCAAGGAAACCTTACAATAAAGGCCAAGAGGAGATTGGAAAACATGATTATAGGCCACATTTTGGGTTTAAAGTGACTTTGATTTGCATTTTGAAATACTGTAGTCTGTCATTTGGTGGAGGCCCCAATTAGTGTCGTACTCATTATTACAGACTAAGCTGCATATAGTTTAAAAAGCAAACCCCAAAGCCCATTCCCACCTGGGAACCAGGTGCAGCAATCTTTGTGAAGCAGATTGACAGTCTGTTACATGGTACTGGGTGGGTTAGCAGAGGCAACTTTTTGTACATTGAATGAGTTTGCAGTCTAAATTGGTTTTCTGTTCACCAAGTCCTACATATTATGTTTTGTGCTATTGATTCAACCCCCACAATGTAATAGCACGCTTCCCCTTTCCTCCTGTTGTTTACTGTTTCCACTTGGCTGTCTTTCCTGCCTCGTGAGCTTTACCGTGGGGCCGATGCTGTCCTTTTGCCCTCTTAAGGTTGCTGGGTCTAGGTTGAGCCGGTGTTTCTTGTGTTATTATGTACCTTCTAGGCCTGTTTGTTGGTTGGCTGGATGTTGAGCCGTGGGAGTGAGTTCAGGTCCAGGGTTGCAGGGTAATTTAGAATCATGCAGGGGAATTCAGGGCCACAATCTTGGGGGTTTAACCTGTCTCATTCTGGCCAGTAAGCCTGATATTTTTTTATAATGTTGTGTTTTGTTTCATATTTTCTCCCAGTCTATCCAGGATCTCCTATTGTGATCCTTTTCAGAATAATCAGCAATGGAAGCTGGGTACCATCAAGCTCTTCCGGTCTCAGACTTACAGAGACTGAGATTTACCAGGTCCCTGAGTCCTTTGGACTAATTATTTCCATATCTCTGTGATTGTCTTCATTCTTCTTTGTTTGGGGCAGGGAGAGACCAGCGTGTACACATTAGAAGGCCGCCCACAAGCTTTTAACATTCCATTTGCCAGTCCCCAAAGTAAGATGTAGAACTTTGGCTTTGAGACCTGTTATATCAATTGACCGTATTGTCCTGAGACTACGGTCCTGAGCGCTCAGGCCCAGTGCCTTATTCCCTCAAGGTGCTTGGTTTTGGCCAAAAGTTTTCATAACGTTGCACCCCCAGTATGCGTAGGGTTGTTATGGGTCAGAACCAACTTGACGGCACAAAGTAAAACATTCCACTGTATTTACAGATATATTTGAGCTCTGACAATCATTTAGTTAGCAGTTGAATATAAATCATTTGCATTACCTAGAGGCCTAAGTTCTATGTAACCAGGATTAATTTGCTGTGGATCTGACTTATGCCTAGGAGCTAAAGGTTGTATAGGAAAAGTGACTGTCTATCATGGTAAGTACAACAGTATCGCCACTCATCTAAGGTGCAACTGTTGGGCCCTCTCCTTCTGGGGGAAAGAAGAGTGAGGAAACAGAAAGACACATGGAAATAATCCAGTGGACTAATGGTTCGCATAAACCTCAGTCCCACAACCCAGAGACCAGAAGAACTAGATGGTGCCCAGTTACCACTACCAGCTGCTCCAAATGGATCACTTGAGAAGGTGCAGGATAGAGTGGGAGAAAAATGTGAAACAAAACCAAAACTTACTAACATAAGAAAAGGCCAGGCTTACTGGTCAGACAGGAACGAGAGGGCTCTACAGACTATAGCCCTTAGTCACCATTTAGGTCTAGAACTGAACGCATCTCTGTGGCTCAATGTTCAGCTAAAGAGCAGACAGGTCTATGAGTGAAATTATAACAGTAGTGAGTTATACACACCTTAGAATAAGCCTCCATTTCAGAACAACAGGGCAGCATTTGCCTGCGGACACAGTTTAGAAGGGTTAGGAAAGGAGAAATGGGAAGAAAGTGGGACATGTGATGTTACATTTAGGGGATCG